TAGTATTATCATTCAGTTCCAATAGACCCACAGCATAATCACGATCTTTCAGAGATTCACTTAACCAACCTCTGTCTTCATCTGGCACAGCATTCCAGAAGTCTTCAAAGTAGTTCTGTACTTCCTGAAAAAGTAAAGAAAATAGTCTTACAATACTTCCTGAGGTCCATGGACAACTAAGCTTGCCTATGCCTCATTGGCCTTCGAGTTCCTTATCTCATTTGATTCGATAAACAAGAGCATGTTCTTCGAATGAACAATTTCTAAAACGAGGTAAATTATTGACAAGCAAGTTGATGAAACAAGAATATCAGCAAACTCGTTTAAAGTCATCATTTCCTAAGTTTTATGGTCGATACAATGACCTTGTCAGCAAATTCAATTTTTCATTGAGTGAAATGCTGACTGACGTTTTTCATACTTATTATTAGTCCATTACTTATACACGGAATTGATGGCGGATTTTTCTGATTTTTTTCCTGATCCTGACAAGAAGCACACGGTGGTTGTGACCGTTCAGCAGGGGATGCTCACTCCTCGTTGGCACCTGAACCCACCTCTGACGTTTTGGAGGTCCATGTTTGCTCTGCTCCTATTTTGTTTTGTTTTATAGACCTTGATATTGAATACTGTTCGTTATCTACATATCCTTCTCACAACAATATTGAAACAAGAGAACCATGGGCCAAATCGCTCACATAAGCTAATTGGCAAGAAAAAAAGCAAATACCAGTTTATTAACGTTACGTTTACGTTAGAAAGGGGGTGGGTGGGCTGAATTTTAAACTATGCTTTCATATCAATATAAAAAATAGAGTTGCTGTTCTTGAACAGGAGAGATTTCTTCCTATTCATTCATTTGTAAAATGTGATCTCTCATTGATGCCCAGACCTACCTTTATTAGAATCTGTTTGATTGTACACTACCTAAGATTGCCTTTCTATCAAGATGACTTATCATGGCATTTCTGTTCTTGAGAAAACGATTTTTCCAAAATATTCCTACGTAAAACTTCAACCCAATAATTGCCTACACTACCTCCGGTCCAAGCTTCAACAAACTTGATTCTACACTACCTGTGGATTCCTAAATTAAAATTGACCAATCCTGGTTTTGTTTTTCTTAAGACAAAAATTTACAGAATTGTTAAGCAACATACATTGAATCCTCACGAAATAGAAATATTACGTTGCCATTTCCCCGCAATCACTTTCTAGCGGGGTTCAAGTTTCTCTAAAGTTTAGCGTAAATAATATTATGACGTAATATTTTAATTAGAAAATAATTTTTCTTATTCTATTAGATTTAAGCAAGTATAAGATGGATTTTTGCAATAAATTGAAGATTTATTGAACTTTTTAAAGTGCGTGATTGCGGGGAAATGGTAAATGCGTGATTTAGCGTTAGATATAGGAAATGGTATATGCGTTAAAATGCGTGACTGCGGGAAAGGAGGTTAAGACAAGGAATTTTTAATTATTTTCCTATGCCTTCTTATGTTACACTTTTATTACCCGAAGTGGCCAAACCCTACCTTTGGGGGTCATACTTTGAACAAAGAACTTTATTCGGTAATAACCAATATTTGCCCCCCAAATCAAACTTTGATGGAGATATATTTAATTAAGTTCTTAAACAGGGGAGTATATGCTGACTTCAAAGCAGTGAATATTTTCCTAAGAAATGACGCCATATGTGCGTAATGACGTCACAAACATGTCGTAAAGTTAAGTTTTTTTTATGAATTTTACAGAAAAATGTACATATTTCGTCGATATTTTGAGTAAAAGTCACCGAGCGCATGTGCGTTCAGGATCAATATTTTGATATAATGTGTAGAATTATAATATCAATGAAATATGTCAATATTGTTCCTGAACAGACTTGCGCTCTATGAATTTTAAAGCTAAAATTGTTGAAATTTTGTCCATTTTGTCCTCTTTCTGAAAAAGGATGTAAATTTCGGACTAGTTTGTGACGTCATAAAAACAAAAATTGTGAATACACTGCTTTGACACTATAATATTTTCTGTTAATTAATATTTCTCATACATTTTATTGAATTCAGCACATTTCAGGAAGTTTTCAAAATTTGACTTTTGTGGGGGCAAATATATGCAATATACCGCATATAGTTCTTTTAATCAACATTCATTCTATAGATGCTTCCATGTAAATATGACCAATCATGGCTTTGTTGTTCTTGAGAAGACGATTTAAAATGGTATTCTCCTATGTATTTCTATGTAAAACTTTAAACCCCCAGTTTATTCCCGCCCATGTCTGGGGTTCAGAATTTGAATAATTTGAATCTACACTACAGGATTTTCAATATCAATATGTTTAATAATGGCTTTGTTGCTCTGGAGAAGAAAATTTTTAATATTTTCCTATATAATTTCTAGGCAAAACTTAGATCCCCAAGTGTTGACCCACCGTACCCCTGAGGGTCATAATTTAAACAATTTCAATCTTCACTAAAAAGGAGTGCTTTTATATAAATATGACCAAACATTGTCTTGCTATCCTTGAGAAGAAGTTTTAAAGAATTTTCCTTTGTATTGCAATGTTAAACTTTGATAGCCCTTTATGGCCCCATCCTACCCTGGGAGTATGATTTGATTAAACAAATGTATTTGAATCTACACTACCTCAGATTCTTTCCACATTATTATTTTTTTTGTCTTTCCTTTCCCAGTGTTTCACGAGGAGAAGATTGTTAAAAGATGCCATTATTTTAAATTTTTCAGTAATTTTTAATTATGTCCCTTTGAAGGAGGGCATGAACCTTCATTTAAACAAACTTTAATCGTTTTTACTCAAGGGTACTTGCAAAAATTTTTGTTGAACTTGGTGTAGTGATTGTTGAGAAGAAGACGAAAAGATGACAGTTGAAAAACAGACAGATAGCTAGATAGACAGAGAAACAGACAGATGGTTATATCCGACAATATGTGATCAGAAAAACTCACTTGAACATAAATAAAAAAAAATAAATTGCCAAAAAAGACAATAGACAAATTTAGTCAGATAAGCTCAATTGAGTCTAGATGAAGAATGAAAATGAGAATGAACTGTTCTGCATATTTTTTCCTAAAATCAAAACCAGGGAGCAAAAAAAATATTCCAATGATTTCATGGCAACATTTTATTATTATTCACACCTAACTTGAAATATTTATATGTAAGATTAAATACTGACCTCAGTAGATTTTCCTTCTGTGTGTGTGACAATAATGAACAGTGGTGCCTTAGTGCCTCCAAAAGTCTTGATTGAGGTAATCCAAAACTTTAGGTAGTCTGAAATAGGGGCATTAAAATAGAATAAAACAGAGAAACATGTTAAACGTGAATTAATTACTCTAGGCCATACCAATTTCTATTATAGTTCGTCAGATTCACCGCTTCCATGGCTTCTATTTTCAACAAATCCAAATTACACATGTATATTATTATAAAAATAAAATTCGCGCGCGCGTCCATAAATATCCAAATATAATTTTTCTCTCCACTTTTACACAAAACGCATAAAAGACTTGGAAATCTGTATGAAAGAAGCGCGGGATTTAGTTTGTTTGTTTGTACTTTGAAGCAGTCTGTTAAGTTTTGCAAGATGCCTTTGTAACTGTTCATATGTACCAGGATGAGCAATTAGCATAGCCCGGGGCTACCATTTTTGGGGATCGGGCTTGTTGTTTTTTGCAAGGAGGTAGCTCTGCAGGCTAGTAGAAAATTACAACTACACACGCAATACAAGACAAGCACAATCGGTATTTTCACGTGCTTTTTTGTTATAAAATTCCCAACTAGTTAAAATTCTCCAGACAACATGCCCCTATTGTCAATAAATCTCCATAATTATGTTCCCCAAACGAAGTTGGGGAACATATTGTTTTTACTCTGTTTCTTATTATTAAGGTCTTCCGTCTTCAGCGGAAGACCTTATTGTTTTTCTTCGGTTTCTTTTTCACTTTTATTATTATTTTTTTTTTCTTACCGATTTTGTGCACGCGATTTCTCGAAAACGGCTCAACAAAATCTTATGAAACTTTCAGGACGTATGGAACATCACTTGAACCTTATGCGTTTTTTTCCGTTTTGATGACGTCACTTCCGGTCTAGAGATATCGTCGATTTTCTGATTTTTAAGGGTCATTTTGTCCACAATTTTCCCGAAAAACGGCTCTAGATAGAAACTTCAAACTTTGAGGCTAGGTAGAGCTATGTCTGGAGAGGTGCATCAGGTATATCAAATTTACCGGAAGTGACGCTCGTCGGCGCTCGCTATGGCCCGAAAATAGACCTATCACAAATTTTAAAATTTCTCACACCTTTTCTTCGATATCTTTTTACCTGAAAATATTTTGTGAAAACGTATAGAACAAAAGAAGTGCAGAATTTAAAGATCTTTTAAATGATATCTCGAAAAAAGGGCTGGCCCCTAAATTTAAGGGTCTAGAGGGGCCAACAGTTTTTTCTTTATATCTCAAAACGTATTGAGAATTTGTAATACGTCAAAGAAGCAAAATTGTTCAAAATGACAAGCTTAATCTATTGAAGTCGTCAGAAAACGTCCGGCGTCGTCACTTCCGGCCAAACCGGAAGTAGTCGAAAAACGCGTATTTTTGCCGTTCTTGACAAGTTTTTTGGTAACAAATGTCTCTAGAAGCAAAAAAATAATTTTTCGTCCATTGTCGTCACTTCCGGTCAAACCGGAAGTAGCAAAAAATTGCTTATTTTTGCATTAATTAACATAGCGTTAAAGGATTCAAACCATTTTTAGGCGTTATTTCTCATTTTTGTTAAAAATTAATGCTACTTCCGGTCAAACAGGACGGAAGACCTACTCGTTGCTTTGCAACGAGCTTTGCTCTAGTTATTAAGGTCTTCCGTTTCAACGGAAGACCTTCTTATTATTCTGTTGTTTCTTTTCAACTTTTCTTATTATTATTCTTACCGATTTTGTGCAGGCGATTTCTCGTAAATGCGCCGATGGATTTTCATGAAACTTTCAGCATTGATGACAAATGACATGAACTTAAGGCGTTTTTTTTAAATTTGATGACGTCACTTCCGGTTCGGAGTTTTCTGCGATTTAGTGAGTTTTAGAGGGTCATTTTGTCCAGCAGTTTTCTCAATAATGGCTCAAGATAGAAATATGAAACTTTCAGGTATGATAGACCAAAGTCTATAGATATGTATAAGGTATTTCATTTTTATCGGAAGTGCCGCACATCGGCGATCGCTATGGCCCGAAAAAAGTCCTATCGCGAATTTCACAATTTTTATCAACTTTTCTACAATATCTTTTAACCTGGAAATATTTTGTAAAAACATATAGAACAAAAGAAGTGTAGAATTTCAAGACCTTTCAAATGATATGTCGAAAAAAGGGCTGGCCCCTAAAAAAAGGGCTTAGAGGGGCCGAAATTGTTTTCTTTATATCTCAAAAAGTATTGAGAATTTGTAATAGGTTAAAGAAGCAAAGTTGTAAAAAATGTCAAGTTAAATCTATTTTAGTCATCAAAATCCGTCCGGCGTCGTCACTTCCGGCCAAACCGGAAGTAGTGGGAAAACGCGTATTTTTGCCGTTCTTGACAAGTTTTTGAATAACATATGTCTCTGGGAGCATAATAATTAATTTTCCGTCCGTCGTCGTCACTTCCGATAAAACCGGAAGTAACAAAAATGGCTTATTTTTGCATTAATTAACATAGTATTGGAGGATTCAAAGCATTTTTGGGTGTTATTTCTCATTTTTCTTAAAAATGAAAGCTACTTCCGGTCAAACAGGACGGAAGACCTACTCGTTGCTTTGCAACGAGCTTTGCTCTAGTTATTATTATTTTTCTTCTTCTTCCTGGGTACTTTTTTGTCGGGGAATGATCTCGTAAACTATACATCCGACTAAGGTGAAATGTTTTTAGGGTCAGTAGACATGTTATGTAGATTTGCGGAACGAAGGTCATTTTGCGCGCACGTGCTTGCAAGTGCGTGCACGTGCAACATGTGTAATGACCGATTTAATTGATATAGGCGTAACTTTTTTAATTTTTGATGAAATGCTTTGAAACTTATAATATAAGGATATATTAGTAGCATAGACAATATGACATGGTCGAAATAGCAAGATCTCACGCGCATGCATGTGCGCTTTGCTCTGATTGGCTGAAACTAAAGTCTCAATATCTTTCTTGTTTTTTGACGAAATCCTTTGAAATTTTGAAAATAGCCATGCATTATGATATCCTACAACATGATATATAGCAATTATCATGAAAACCACGTGCGCTGCAATCTGATTGGCTTAAACTTTAAATAGCTATAACTCCCTTGATCTTCAACCAAACAGGATGGGATTTGGAACATAGATAGATATACTGGACTACTACAAGAAAGTATGGTCACCATGCACATGCATACACGTGCATGTACGTGCACGGCAGTCTGATTGGCTGAAACTTTAAACAGCTATAACTCCCTTGGTTTTCAACCAAACGGGGTGGGATTTACAACATAGATAGATGTAACGGACATCTACAAGAAGGTATGGTCACCATGCTCATGTATGCACGTGCGTGCACGTGAAATGAGCAAAATAAAAAAACAATTGAATGAGCGTATCTTTTTAATACTTTTGGATTAAATACTTTAATATTAAGTATATTAAAATATATAGATTGTGTAGACAAGATGATATGGTCATTACGCACATGCATTCACATGCGCACGTGTGCAATGCTAAAATTTGAATGAACTTTGTACACTTCTGGGTAAACGTTTTTAAGTCTCAAATGCATCGAGTTTGTCTAATTTAATGAAGCTTCCAGGGAATATGGCACCAAAAGGGAGTTGGGGAGCGTTTGGGGAACATCTGTAACGGTCCCCGTTACAATTAGCACTAGTTTTATCTGTTTTGTAGTTCTATCTGACTTATTTACGTCCAAAATTGATCTTTTTTTCCTAATCCGAATTTTTTCTATTCCTCCATTTATGGTTAATACATGCAGATATATCTCATTAAATTATTTACGGTCACTCAATCAACTGAAAGGTAAGTGTATTTGTGACTCACATAAAATTTAATTCCAGTGTATTTAAGGATTTAAGATGAAACAAAATGACTTTGATTTTATTCTAATTGAGCTAGTGCAATGATCAGAAAAAGGAAAGATAATTTATTTAAATTAATTTTAAATTAATTTTTTTTTCATAATATTTTATGCATGAGATTGAGAACTTTAATTTTAAGAAGAATGACCTCAGTACCCTGACTTTTACAGCGATTAATTTCTTCTCAACATTTAAGTATTTACTTTAATTGTTTGCCCCTCTATTTGGGTTAGTTACTTTTTACTTGGGGCCAGCTGCCACTAGCCCGTGGAAAAGTACTTGATTTTTTTAATTGCACACCCCTGTGTATATTATAGTTAAAAACATTGGGTACAAAGTAGTTCCATACACAGCAACAGAAATGGAATTAGAGGATATGTTTGCAGCTTTGTTTTACATGTATGAAACAATAAAGAGAACATCATCAACATATGAAAATACAGTACACACAAGATTAAGTAAATATTGACAATATTTGATCAATTAAAATTACAGAAAATTCAAAAAGCGATGCAATTGTGATTTCAAAACCTGACATGACCTTTACAATTTGCAAAGAATTAAACAGAAAATTGTCAAAATTGTTAGGTTACAAGGAACAAAAGAAAAACACGTTTTCGCGCCTTATGAGTGCAATTGAAAATTTATTCTCGTCCAGAAAAAAGAGAACTTAGAAATTTTTGCCACTAATATTAATTATATTCGCTCGCCTCATAATTTTGAAATCTGAAATAATAAAAAAAATACTTGTAAAATATTTTCGCTCACTCGCCTCACTTTTTATTTTTGAAAATCCGAAGAATGTTACAAATTGGTGTGGCCCTATTGTACTCAATACTTGCAGCAGTGAACAGAAGCAGGTATGGTTCATAGTTAAATGAACTTCTTGCTACAGAGTTGGGGGAGATACATTGATGCGTTTTTGTATTTTGGGGTTATGTAATCCTTTGTGCTTAACATGTATAAAGATTGATGGTGAGACCTGCCTTTGTTTATAGATATGCTCTTTAGTGAGAGGATGATCCACTTTGTGGATTCATTAATTTCTTCTCGTTTATGGCATTTAAAACATTATTCATATGGCATTCTAGATCTGATCATATAATGTAATCAAAAAAGGAACTTATACAGAGTTGTTCTTATGTGTAAAATGAAGCTACTTAGTTGACACTCGGGTCACTATTTGC